CCCAGCACCCACATGGCAGCTCACAACTGCCTGTAATTCCAGTTCCAGGGTACCTGACACCCTCACACCAAACACATAACAATAATATGAAATAAATTTAAAAAGAGAAACGCCGGCTAGAAACAAGCCAAGCTAAGGCCGGGCATTCTTTTTTTTTTATTTAAATTTATTTATTTATTAAGGATTTCTGCCTCGTCCCCACAACCGCTTCCCATTTCCCTCCCCTTCCCCCGATCAAGTCCCCCTCCCTCATCTGCTCGAAGAGCAATCAGGGTTCCCTGACCTGTGGGAAGCCCAAGGACTGCCCACCTCTATCAAGGCCGGGCATTCTTAAGTAAGAATAAGCCTCTGTGCATCTTTTTGGGGACTGGATGGTGGCCTCCCCACAAGAGTCAAAGAGTGAAAATCAATTACAAGAGGGAATGGGGCTCAGCAGTGTCACCTTCAACTTGGTTCTGGCTGCAGCTGGAAGGCAGTCCCCACTGCGTGGAGCACCAGAGTCCCTGACTCTGCCGGGCTAGCCACACCTCTGGGGAGGAGGCACACCAGGCTCTTTTCCTGTGCTGGCAGCAGTGACCTTTCCACCTTCCTCATGGCCAGCTGCTGGCAAAGCCCAGTGATGCCCCAGCTGGTGATGGAGCAGTGTTCCTTAGGCTCAGCCTCACACACAGCATGGGAGACCCACAGTCTTCCCTGAAGGTACGCTGGAGTGGGAGTGGGGACTGCCTCCTGTTTCTTCTATTTGTCCAGATTATTAACTAGCCCCTGTCTCTGTTTGACCCTCCACTGCCTGTCCCCAGCCCATCTGCTGGACTTTGGGACTGTGTATTTTTCCTTTTTTAAAAGACGTTTCTTGACCGGGCGGTGGTGGTGCATGCCTTTAATCCCAGCACTTGGGAGGCAGAGGCAGGCGGATCTCTGTAAGTTTGAGACCAGCCTGGTCTACAAGAGCTAGTTCCAGGACAGGCTCCACAACCACAGACAAACCCTGTCTCAAAAAAGCAAAAAAAAAAAAAAAAAAAGACGTTTTCTGTACAGCCTTGGCTGTCCTTGAATGTAGTTGGGCTCTTCTTTTGGGCTGCCAGCTCCAAAAAGTGACGCAGAGACTTATTATTAGTTATGAAAGCTCAGTCTACAGCTTAGGCTTGTCCCACTAGCTCTTAGAATTTATATTAATGAATTTTTCCTCATCTTTGTTGCCACGTGACTCGTGGCTTTTATCTCTCCCCTGCACGTCTTGTTCTCCCTGCATCAGGCTGAAGACTCCTCCTTTCTTCTTCCCAGAACGCTGTGTCCATAAGTCCCACCTAACCGCTTCTTGCCTAGCTAATGGCCGTTCAGCTCTTTATTAAACCAACCACAGTGATACATCTTCACAGTGTAAAGGGATATTCCAGAGCACTGGAATATTGCTCTGTAGACCAGCCTGGCCTTGAACTCACAGAGATCCACCTGCCTCTGCCTCCAGAGTGCTGGGACTAAAGGCGTGCACCACCACACTGTACAGCAGGACTGTGTTCTTTTGCCCTAGAATTCCTGTTTGGTTATGTTTCAAACTTAGTTGTGTTTCCTTGCTTGTTTAAGACAGGGTCTCCTGTTATCTTAGGCCGGCCTTGATTGTCCTTCTTCAGCCTTCTGAGTGCTGGGAGTGTAACAACTACACCGAGTCCTTTCTCATGTTGTCTCATCTTAGGTTTACCATTTCTTGATGTTTTCCCCTTTCTCTCCCTTTTACAAATCTCTTGGCACAGTCCCTTGAAAGCCAGCCCTCTCTTGCTTCCTGTGGGGTCCTGTTCCTGGTATGTCTAGTTCCTCGGCACACTGCTCATTGCCCAGGACAGTTACCTCTTAAACCCCAGGTCTCAGATGACCCTGTTGCCTGCAGGGTCATGGGGGCTGCTTTGGCTCATGTTTGGAAGTGGAACTGTTCTAGGACCATCACTAATATGCCTGCTATTTCACTTTTTCTTTTTCTTGTTTAAAATTTTTTAATTGATTTTTATTGAGCTCTATATTTTTCTCTGCTCCCTTCCCTGCCTCTCCCCTCCCCCCTTCAGCCCTCCCCCAAAGTCCCCACGTTCCCAATTTACTCAGAAGGTCTTGTCTTTTTCTACTTCCCATGTAGATTAGATCTATGTAAGTCTCTCTTAGTGTCCTCATTGTTGTCTAAATTCTCTGGGGTTGTGGTTTGTGGGTTGTTTTCCTTTGCTTTATGTTTAAAAATCACCTATGAGTGAGTACATGTGATAATTGTCTTTCTGTGTCTGGGTTACCTCACTCAAAATAATGTTTTCTAGCTCCACCCATTTTCCTGTAAAATTCAAGCTGTCATTATTCTTTTCTGCTGTGTGGTACTCCATTGTGTAAATATACCACATTTTCCTTATCCATTCTTCAACTGAGGGGCATTTAGGTTGTTTCCAGGTTCTGGTTATGACAAACAAAGCTGCTATGAACATAGTTGAGCACATGTCCTTGTGGCACAATTGAGCATCCTTTGGATATATACCCAAAAGTGGTATGACTGGGACTTGAGGAAGGTTGTTTCCCAATTTTCTGAGAAATTGCCACACTGACATCCAAAGGGGTTGTACCAGCTTGCATTCCCACCAGCAATGCAGAAGTGTTCCCTTTCCCCCACAACCTCTCTAGCATAAGTTGTCGTCAGTGTTTTTGATCTTGGCCATTCTCACAGGTGTAAGATGGAATCTCAGAGTTGTTTTGATTTGCATTTCTCTGATGACTAAAAATGTTGAACATTTCTTTAAGTGTCTTTCAGCCATTTTAGATTCCTCTGTTGAGAATTCTCTGTTTAGGTCTGTACTCCATTTTTTTTTTTATTGGATTATGTGTTCTTTGGTGACCAATTTCTTGAGTTCTTTGTATATTTTGGACATCAGACCTCTGTCTGATGTGGGGTTAGTGAAGATCTTTTCCCATTCTTTAGGCTGTCGTTTTGTCTTGTTGACCGAGTTCTTTGCTTTACAGAAGTTTTTCATTTTCAGGAGGTCCCATTTATTAATTGTTTCTCTCAGTGTCTGTGCTGCTGGGGTTCTATTTAGGAAGTGGTTCCCTATGCCAATGCACTCAAGTGTATTTCTCACTTTTTCTTCTATAAGGTTCAGTGTGGCTGGCTTTATGTTAAGGTCTTTGATCCATTTGGACTTGAGTTTTGTGCATGGTGATAGATATGGGTCTGTTTTCATTCCTTTACATGATGATATCCAGTTATGCCAGCACCACTTGTTAAATATGCTTTCTTTTTTCCATTTGATATTTTTTGCTTCTTTGTCAAAAATCAGGCGTTCGAAGATGTGTGGATTGATATCAGGGTTTTCTATCCAGTTCTATTAGTCCTCCTGTTTGTTCTTATGCCAATACCAGGCTGTCTTCAGTACTGTAGCTGTATAGTAGAGTTTGAAGTCAGGGATTGTGATGCTTCCAGAAGTTCTTTTATTGTACAGGATTGTTTTGGTTATCCTGGGGCTTTTGCTTTCCCATATGAAGTTGAGTACCGTTCTTTCGAGGTCTTTGAAGAATTTTGCTGGGATTTTCATGGGCATTGCATTGAATTTGTAGATTGCTTTTGGTAAGATTGCCATTTTTACTATGTTAATCCTGCCTACCCAAGAGCATGGGACATCTTGCCACTTTCTGATGTCTTCTTCAATTTCTTTCTTCAAAGATTTAAAGTTCTTGTCATACAAATCTTCCACTTGTTTGGCCAGAGTTACTCCGAGATATTTTATGCTATTTGTGGCTATTGTGAAGGGTACTGATTCTCTGACTTCTTCCCTAGGCCTTTTATCATTTGTGTACAGGAGGGCTACTGATTTTTTTGAGTTAATCTTGTATCCTGCTACATTACTGAAAGTGTTTATGAGTTGTAGAAGTTCCTTGGTAGAATTTTTGGGATCACTTATGTAACTATCATATCATCAGCAAACAGTGAGTTTTATATTTTTTTTTTTTTAAATGCTACAAGATCCCCGGCAGCAGTAGGCAGCAGAAATGCTGTAGGTCTCAAATGGTGGTAGTGGGCCATGTGGTGGCAAGCTCTGAGAGCTGCCAGCCCCAGGCAGAGACGGCTGCTGGTCCCCAAGCAGTGGCTGGTCCCAGGCAGGGAAACACATGGTGGGTGGGCAGGAGACAGAGACATGGATAGACACGACTTGCAGAATGAGGTTGGATATTTATTTAGGGGGTTATAAAGGGGGAAGGGAGAAGGGGGCAGAGAGAGAGAGAAGAGAAGAGACAGAGAAGGGGGGAAGCAGAGAAGTGGGGAGAGAGGCAGAAGCGAAGAGGAAGATGGAAAAGAGAGCGAGCTCAGGCTGGAAGCTGAAGATCAACCTGCCTCAGTGGATGGGGGAGGGAGTGGGCATGGCTCGTCTCTTAAAAAGACAGAAAACCATAACAGTGAGAGTTTGACTTCTTCTTTTCCAATTTGTATCCCCTTCATCTCCCTTTGGTGTCTTATTGCTCTAGCTAGGACCTCAAGAACTATATTGAATAGATATGGAGAGAGTGGACAACCTGTCTTGTTCCTGATTTCAGTGGGATCGCTGTGAGTTTCTCTCCATTTAGTTTGATGTTGGCTGTTGACTTGCTGTATATTGCCTTAATTATATTTAGGTATGTTCATTGTATCCCTGCTCTCTCCAAGACCTTTATTGTATGTGGCATATTAACCAGGCTAGCTTAATATGAAACAGCAAATTTTAATGAAGGAATAGCTTACAACACCAGGGATCCAGCAATGGGCAGGAAATACAAAAAAAAGGACCAGCGGGGTTCACACCTGCCAGATTTATACGTAAACATTAGCCCGAGGCGAACATGCCCCCCATTGGGCTGGGCTTACCCTTCACTTTATCATGAAGGGATGTTGTATTTTGTCAAAAGCTTTTTCGGGCTGAATCGCCGCCAGGTCTGCTCCGGCTGCACACCGCCCGCAGCCCCACCGCCCACGTCCTTCTCCTCCTCCTCCTCCTCCACCTCCTCCGCCAACGCCGCAGCCGCCACCATGGGAGTGCAGGTGGAGACCATTTCTCCTGGAGGCGGGCGCACCTTCCCAAAGCGCGGCCAGACCTGCGTGGTGCACTACACGGGGATGCTTGAAGATGGAAAGAAATTTGATTCCTCTCGGGACAGAAACAAGCCTTTTAAGTTTATGCTAGGGAATCAGGAGGTGATCCGAGGCTGGGAAGAAGGGGTAGCCCAGATGAGTGTGGGTCAGAGAGACAAACTGACAATCTCCCCAGATTATGCCTATGGAGCCACTGGGCACCCAGGCATCATCCCACCACATGCCACTCTGGTCTTCGATGTGGAGCTTCTAAAACTGGAATGACAGAAGTGGCCTCCTCCCTTAGCTCCTTGCACATGGATCTGCCATGGAGGGATCTGGTACCTCCAGACGGGTGCACATGAATCCATGTGGAGCTTTTCCTGATGCCCACCACTCTTTGTATAGACACCTACCCGACTGAATGTGTTCCGTCACTCGGCTTTGCTTCGGACACCTCCATGTCCTCTTCCTTCTCTGTATGTGTGTTGACCTAAACTATATGTCATAAACCTCAAGTTATTTTGTTTTGGGGTGAAGATTCAATTTAAGTCTTTCAGATCTAGGTTTCCAATGAAGTATATTGTCAAGTATTAACAGCACAAGCGATGGGTTAACTTTAGAATAGGAATTGGTGTTGGGGGTGGGATTTGCAAGAATTTTTATTTTATTTTATTTTAATTTTTTGGATGAAAAATTTATCTATTATATATTAAGACATTCTTGCTGCTGTGCTGCAAAGCCATAGCAGATTCGAGATGCTGTTGAGGGCTGGATTTTTCTCCAGTGTGGGAAGTCCTGTTAAATTGAAAGCCCTACCCAAACTGAAGTGGGAAGGGAGGGAGCGAGCCTTTGACAGCCCTCCCACCTTCTGAAACTGTCTGCCTTGTAAAGCAGGTCCCTTTACTGCTGTGTTAGACACTACAGTCCCTGTCCCTGGGTCGACAGGGACCTTTGAAGCCTTCTTTGTGACCTGGCTTAATTTGTTTTTCATCCTATGGTTTTTCTAATGGATTTTCAGGACTTTTGTAATCTTGTAACTATCCAAGCTCCACTTCCTAAATTTTAAGAACTTTAATGGAAAGTTTAAATTGAAGGTGCTGTTTGTAGACTCACCACCCGATGGACGCCCAGTCGTCACTACAAATCCTTGAGTGTTCTCTAAGAAGATGATGCTGGTCATCACAGCTTCAGCATCTCCTGGGTTCTGATGCTTGGCTCTCTCTGCTAATCTTGGCTTTCTGGCTTTTCCTCCCTCAGTTCCTTCTCACCCTCTGCTGTCCTGTGTAGTGATTTGGTGAGAGAAAGTACGCTTTTGTCCCTTGCCCTCTGCACCACAAATGCGTTTCAAGTTTTATTATTGCAATAAAAGTGCTTTATGCTGGCTTTTCTCAAAAAAAAAAAAAAAAAGCTTTTTCGGCAGCTAATGAGATGATCATGTGGTTTTTTATTTTTCAGCTTGTTTATATGGTGAATTACGTTGACAGATTTCATATGTTGAACCATCCCTGCATCTCTGGGATGAAGCTGACTTGGTCATGGTGGATGATGGTTCTGATGTGTTCTTGGATTCGATTTGCCAGTATTTTTTTTAGTATTTTTATATCAATGTTCATGAGTGAAACTGGTCTGTAATTCTCTTTCTGTGGTTTGGGTATCAGGGTAATTGTAGCCTCATAAAAAGAGTTTGGCAGGGGCTGGAGAGATGGCTCAGTGGTTAAGAGCATTGCCTGCTCTTCCAAAGGTCCTGAGTTCAATTCCCAGCAACCACATGGTGGCTCACAACCATCTGTAAAGAGGTCTGGCGCCCTCTTCTGGCCTTCAGGCATACAGACAGAATATTGTATACATAATAAATAAATAATTTAAAAAAAACATTAAAAAAAAAGAGTTTGGCAATGTTCCTTCTGTTTCTATTGTGTGGAATAATTTGAGAAGTATTGGTATTAGTTCCTCTTTGAAAGTCTTGTAGAATTTTGAGCAGAAACCATCTGGACCTGGGCTTTTTTTGGTTGGGAGACTTTTGATGACTGTTTCTATTTCTTCAGAAGTTATAGGTCTATTTAACTTGCTTATCTGGTCTTGATTTAATTTTGGTAAGTATTTCACTTTTTCTTGACCACTCCGTGGTCATGATTTGGTCACAGCTACAAACCAAATGGGTGCTTGCCATGAAACCACCAGAGGTATGTTTCCCCTTCTTTGGCCCCAACATCAAAAAGACACGCCTCTGGGCATGTCAGTGTGGGTGGGAAGAGGCTGCATTTACTCTTTATGCCCCCAATTCCGTTCAGTGCAGGGAGTGACAGTGGAGACACCAGACACCTGGGATTTGCCACAGGGATTTTTAGGTCAGAAGTCCCCACCCTAGCTCTCATTTCCCTTCCCTGCCCTATTGTCTGCCAGGAGCCAATGCATGAGTCCCTGTCCCCTACTCTACCCTACCCGTTTTAGCCTCAACCTGAAAAAAAAATTGTTTTTTGAGACAGGTGTTCACCATGTAGCCCTGACCTGGACCTCTCTATGCCAGACAGGAGATAGCAATCTCCCTGTCTCTGCCTCCTAAGTGTGGGAATTAAAGGTATGTACCACTAAACCCTTGTCAAATCTTTAAAAAAAATTTTAAATTGTGTTTAGGATTATTTTATGTATTTAGGTGTTTTGCCTGCATGTACATTTGTAAACTATGTGCAGGTTGGTGCCCACAGGGGCCAGAAGAAGACATTGGATCCCCTAGAACTGGAGTCACAGACGGGTGTGAGCTGCCATGTGGATGCTGGGAATTGAACCTGGGTCCTCTGGAAGAGCTACAAATGCTCTTAACAACTGAGCCATCTGTCCAGCTCCCAATTCCTGCCAAATCTCGATTCCAGGTAATTCCCACAGACATACCAGGATCCTTTGGGAAAGCTGATTCGGAGAGGTTGTGGGACAAGATCCAGAGACAGAGCTGGAGCAAGGTGGTGTGTGTGTGTGCGCACGTGTGAGCGTGTGTGTGAGAGCTTATGCATGTGCACATGCAAGCGTGAGTGGGCACCTGAACAGTATGTTCAAAGTCTAGGGTCACAGTCCCTGACAGAGCCCAAAGCAAGTATGCAGCAGTTGGTCTGGCTTCGCGAAGGTCTCCAGAGCAGATGCCCCAAATCCTACCCGGCCGTGAGAGGTAGAAGCCTTTCTGAGTGAGGAAGGCTGCTAGGCTTTACTTTTCAGGCAGGACCCATTTCCAGAGCTCCCTGGGGTACCTTAGGCAGCATGCTTCCCAGATTCACACACCACATCCTGCAGCCAGACAGGCACAGCCAATGGGGCAGCTTCCTGAATGTCACTACACCTGTATCTCTTCGCTCCCAGGACACCACACTACGGTTACCTCTCTCTAAGTAGGTGGCCCCCACCCACATTCAGTCCCTAGAGATTCCAAGACAGTCCTGCATGCCCTAGATACTGGTAAACATCCTGACGGCCAAACTGTCTCTGCTACAAATCCCACCACCCCCAACCTCCAGGCCTCGAGAGCTACCAGACACAACTGTCAGCTTACTCCATAAAATGTAAGGGGATCTGGGCATAGGGGTATAGGCCTTTATCATGTACTTGGAGAGGCAGAGGCGGGCAGAAGTTCCAGGCCAGTCTCACTACATAGTGAGACTCTGTCCGAAAACAAATGAAAAAGATGAGGGGAGTTGAAAAAGATAGAGGCCACTGATGCTATGGGATATTTATGACCGCCAAACTACTATACTTTGGCCTTGGCCCTCAGTGTGGCAGAATGCAGATTAACAGAAACAGGTTAATGTAAGTTATGAGCTATGAAGGTCTCTGAGGATACTGCCTCAGCTGATGACTGCAACGGTCATGGAGTCCGGTGGTGACTGTGGGGCCCGAGAGCCAAAATGACCTCAGGCTTACTTAAGTCCTCTGATGGTTACTCTAACTTGGCTGTCTGACTTGGCATCCCGGTGACTAATATGTTTCTCAGAATGGATCACCAGTGTCCCCCAACTATAAAACCAGATACCGTTTATAGAAGAGGTCCCGCCTGCCAGATGCAGCACCAATTTGTCCGGCATCTGCATTTCCAACCTTGGCATTCACTTGGCTTAGAACAAACTAGGCTTTTCTTGAAGGGCACATTCCTTCCTGTTACTGGTGACCTTTGGGGTCACTTTTGTGTGGTTTGAATAGCAATCTCAGCGGGTTTTCCGAAGAGTGCGTGTACAGTGCTTGGGCGAGAAGGAAATGGCTCTCTTGGATCCCCCCCTCCCCCCCAGCGTGGCTACTGGTCATGGTCAGCTTAGATCCTGGAATGAAACAGACTCACTTGGGCCAATCCCATAAGATGCAAGTCTAACTAGAGCCCTTGCTTTACGAGGGAAGGTGAGCTCCTCTCCTCGACACCGTGAGGACACGACGTGCAGGGCACTACAGTGACAAACCAGTGTGGTGTGGCTCTTTCCTGACTGCAGGCTTGCCCGCACCCACCGTGAGGCGCTAACGCTCCAGTTAGGACACTCCTTCAGCCTGGGTGTGCGGTTCCTGGCAGGCTCTGGACTGGCTCCCACGCTAGTCTCCCACACGCGTGGGTCCCGGAGAGCGGGAAATCAAATTCGGCGGCGGTCAGCATTTGATCACCGCAGGTGCTGGCCGAGCACGGAGCGTGCGGCCATAATGGGGAGGTCGCGGTAGGCGCCCTGCAGCCCGGCTCCCGTGTCCTCCGCTGCGCTCCTGCGCTAATAAGCTTCGCGCAGAGTGGGAGCAGCCTGCGCCAGGCGCGCGCGGCCGCGGTGTTTCCATGACGACGACGTCGGGGACCCGGGTGGGGTCGGCTTGGGCGCATGCGCGCGTGCGGGTCGCGGTGCGTACTCCGTCCTCCTTCCTGAGTCGCCCGCGCTGCTGGTCGGGGTTCCGTGAACCGCGGTAAGAGCGAGGTGGGGGTCCACGAGGCCCTGGGAAGGGTGGTACCGGGCTAAGCGTACCCGAGTTCGCAGGACGCGTGAGTGGGGCTGGGCTGTGGGTCGCGAGCCGGGGGTGGGCGGGGCCGGTGTCGTCGCCCGTGGACCGGATCGGGTGCAGCCTGGTGTGCGGCGTCACTGACCGTGCTGCTCGCTGCAGGGCGGTCCCGGGCTCCCTCCTCGGCCATGGCCCCCGCGCCCAGGTTCTTGCTGTCGCCGCCGACTTTGCTGCTGCTGCTGTTGCTGCTGAGCCTGGCACTGCTAGGCGCCCGCGCCGAGTCCGCCGCCGGGAGCGCTGTCCCCGCGCAGAGTAGGTGCTGGAGGAGGGGGCGTGCGGGAGGCGTCTTTGTTTCCTGCGCGGGTCACTTCTTGGGTGGGAACTAGAGGGCAGGCGACGGGGACTGGGACGCCGCTGGGTAATTGGCTAGGACCTGGCTGGGGCTTCTGTTTGTCTACCCTCACATGATGCTGACCCCCGTCCTTGCAGGCCGTCCGTGTGTGGACTGCCACGCGTTTGAATTCATGCAGCGCGCCCTTCAGGACCTACGGAAAACGGCCTACAGCCTGGACGCGCGGGTGAGTACAGAAGGCCAGGGAGGACTGGCTTTGGTTTGTAAGCATCCCAAGACCTAGCCACTCTAGGGATCTGGGAGATCTCACCTGGAAACGCCCCCACGCCCAGCGCACTGTCTGACCTCTGCCGAGGCCTCAGGGCACTCTGTCCTGTAACTTGTGGTAGATAGTGTATTCCACGCCTGTGTACTAAACTCGGATCTCCCGTGAGAAAGGAGCCCAGAGTAGGAAGAAGAAACTAAGGCTGGGCATAGAGGCTATGGTGTGTGAGGAATGGAAAGCTAGGTAGGACCAGAGATCTGGGTGTGTGTCCTGGAGTCTTGGGTCCTCACCGGTTGGGTGAACTTGTAGCTCTCCAGCCCTGGGGAGTTGACTTCTGTAAAGAGAATTCCTGGAAATGGGAGGAAGGAAAGGGCACAGTCCCAACGCTGGGGTCTCTCCCCACTTTCCAGTGAGGCCTCTGCTCCTCTTGTGGATTGTGAAGAGAGGGTGCATGATGGAGGAGCTTTGAGTGATGGGTGTGAGTTGAAGACTAGAGTGGGGATGGGTATAAGGAGGGACCCCAGCATCGGCAGCCACTCTGGAGGGAATGGGGGTGATAAGGCACCTGAGGGGCCAGGTGAGGAGGCCTGAAGCCCCAGCAGGGCAGTGGTGACAGTGAAGAAGCCAGGAAGGCCCAGGAAGGTGTCCATTAAGAACTCTGTCCTGGGGGCTGGAGAGATGGCTCAGCGGTTAAGAGCACTGACTGCTCTTCCAGAGGACCCGGGTTCGATTCCCAGCACCCACATGGCAGCTCACAACTGTCTGAAAATGCAGTTCCATGAGATCTGACACCTTCACACCAACGAACATAATAAAGTTAAATAAATAAAAAGTTTAAAAAAA